ACCGACCGATCCAGGAGAGTCCGACTGACTGGCTACCGGCTAAGTAGCAGGTTGAAACCATTTGCTGACATGACCAGCAATTTTATAATGACACCTCTCTGGTCGTATCATAACCGAAGCAGCCTTCCCCACACAACGGACGTCATTCAAATTAATTTTATATTCAACCGACCAGCGCGCTGGTTGAGCGCCCAGCTTTGTATTACTTCATTCTGAGAAGGGTAAACAACTAATCACCTCGACACGTCTCATGGATGAGAAATCAGCAGTATTCAAAGTCACATGTGTGATGGAGATCCTGAGTGGGATGACTGTCTTATCCGCGTGCGAAGTAAGTACACACTGAAAGGTAACCGGATCATTCATATTTGCAAATCTTTGCAGGGAGGTATTTCTTTTTAGATGGGCATTCGTACTACAAGATGTCCAACACACGTTCACCAACAAGTTGATAAATACGTCGATCGGTATTTCCAAAGTTCTTTTGCGGTACATCCTCAATCATTAGTCTATAATCTACTGTAATCTCATTCACTCCGCCTCAAGACAAACATGAGCACCTCGATCGCCTCGTCTAATGCTTGACGCTGGCTAACACAAACATTTATGGCCGGTTGAATAAATCGCGAATTTGATCGTCGCGCGCTGGTGTTTGTTGTGATCGGGAACATATCGTTGTCCATACTGCAAACAGGCGTAACTGATTTTATACAAATTTTCAGTAGAAGCAAAATGAACATCGTCAGTTATTTGATTCCATAAATCTTTCCTACTTTAGTCAATATGATCATGATTTCTTCCAATAACATAGCTGAAAAGTGTGTTCATCATTGTCTAAGAAGTGTGTAGAGAACATGAAGATCATATTCTCAGCTAAACATATTTTTGATTTTTTTTTTCAGATACGTCTCTATGCGGTAACCTTGACAGTTACAATAGTCTAGCAGTTTGAAGATACGCCTTTGACTACATATGGAATAAAATCATATTAAGTTCAAAAAACACTTTATCCTCACTTCTAAATGATACTCAAGGCAACTCACGGATAATACAGAACAAAAGTAAGAAGGTGATTTCAAACAAAAACATTTACGACGTGTGATCATGAGGTAGTAAATAATAAAAACGTTGATGTTCTGGTAGAGTGATAGCTGGCCTATCGCCCTGGCAAAGTGAGGTCAAATAATTATATTTTTTTATTTGTGATTTTTCGAAATTCGCCATTCAGAGGAGACAGCTCTTTTTTTAAATATTGGAAACATCCCTTTTCAATTAATTCATTGAGTTCAAATAAAAAAAAATATTTATCACGCACCAGCTCACCTTTTGCTGTAGACTTGAAACGATTTATCCAGATAAACAAAATACAATTCGAATACTTTCAGTTCTTCAGATAAGCCTCTCACAAGATTTCTGCCAAAATTCATTATTAACAAAAACAATCTAAGATGACTGCTAGTGACATCTCTATCTCATTGTTTGAACTACATACATTAATTTGATATAGTAGTATAGTTGTAGTCACTGTTCTTTGCGGTTACGTCATCAACGCCATATGAAATAAGTAAACAGATCGTCTCCGTACCATGGGCGAATATTGAGCGCAGAGGTCGTGACATGTGGTCCTTTACTTCTCATATCATAGAAAGTATTCCTAATTCTGTTTTGACAATTTAAATTGCACGCCGATGTCAAGTAAGTTTTCACTCTGACAAATATGATGGAAGGGCACTCATCCGTAACGACAAATTTTCGAGACGGAGACACACAACTAAAAAACGTATGTCTTTGAACTTAGCGAACAAACGTTCATACACAGAGGTATGTTGCATGTGTATATATGAGGCAGTTGGAGATATATAAAGTGATACTGGTAGCCTTACTTTGATCCGCCAAGAACGGTGACTACAACTATATGTGTTCTGTAAATCAAAAGGACATAATATAACTAATCCGTGTACTAAGTCAAAAAGCCTAGGTGTTTCCTCTTAAACTAAACATTTCTGTTTTTCTTTGCTCTTCTCGTTTTTTCTTCTCCCTCCCTTTCTCCTTTTCCTTGACATTGTCTGGTTTCTGGGCAACCAGGATTGACAGATTCGACTAACGTACATTAGACAGTGACTAATGGGCAAAGGTCCAACGAACCGCCCAGACAAACAAATGACGAATAGTAGGACATAAGGTGTATATTAGTTACTACTGGGAGAGCAGCAAAAAAATTGACACCGCATGTAGGCGTATCTTCATTTACGCCTCCTCGCGGTGTATTGTATTTCACTTCTATGAGATACGACGTTTAGTCTTATGGTAATATCTCTAAGAGCGAACTACTTAGAGTTACGCCACTTTGTGGGATTGAAGATATGATATACCTTGTTGATCTGAATCCATTAACTTGAGTTTGATTTTTTGTCAGATACGCCTGTCTGCTGTATGGCCGACGATATGTATCTACATATAGACAGATGGCATACCCAAAAGGCCAGTAATTTCCACTTAGGATGCCCGAATTGAGTTCACAATGTCCAACCTCGATTGCATTAAAACTACTCCTTTGTCATTACGTAACTTCACATAATTCTCCATATAGAGGTGCAATACACGGTGCAAAATACTCACCAAAATTTTTTGTTAACCATTACTTCGTCACGATCACGGCCGTAGCGGTAGGTACTATAATTCACATATGTATACTCCCTACTGAATGGGGCCGTGGTTCCAGAATTTGTTGCACTTAGTATACAAACTCAAGTCTCTGCACACGCGCTAAAGAATACCTCTGTGGCGATTGCCATATGGCGATACAAGTCCACTAACGGGCCACTTGAGATCTATTTAAAATCATCAATAAACAAAAAGAAGGTGGCAGACAAGGACCAGTCGTCCGAGGCGGTACCATCCGCTAGCTTATTTCAGGGTGTCTTAAGAATGTCCGCAGGTTTCCACACTTAAACTAAGCAGTCGGTTTTCTTCCTTTTTTTCTCTTTTACAACAAAGAGGTTATGATGAGCCCTTTGACTATAAAGAATTTCGGACGGAGAGTTTCGGAACCCTTTCTCGCCAACGGGCGGTCGACGATCTTGTTCTCCTCTACCACTGTGACAAAGGACCTTACTCCGCTTCCGCGCGCTGAGCCTGCCAGGCGGACCCGCTAGGATTGAAGGATACCAACCCTAGGGATTAACATTATAATGGTGCAAAAATATTCGTAAGGCTCGAAATAAGGAACTAGGAGGCATAGGTCCAAAAAAATAACCTAGCAACGCGGTATCGTTTCCATGTTTCTCTTGATTTACGATTAAATATCTAAATTGGCTGTAAATTCAAGACGACATTATGTGACCAGTCTTCTGTGTTATAGATAACGCGTCGAAAAATAATTTGCATAATAAAAATAAGCAGAAAAGTAGGCCTTTGCAATTTTCCTAGTAAGACACAACTATAAAAAAATTTCGCTGTACAAGATGGGTAAGGTAAAATCGTACATGCTTGCCTCGGAAAAGCACACTGACGCTGTTTTAGCTCTTTAAAGGGTACGAGGGATGTATTTTAAGTTTTGCATATGGAAATAAAACAACACGGTTGGTAGTTTTAAATGACTTTATTGTTTTTCGAAGTATTCTCCACGAAGATAAATACACATCTGCATGCGCTCGAACCAATTCCTCTCGTTTGCTGGCAGATCCAAAACGGCATTTTTGAATGGGCCAACTGCTTCTTCTGGTGACTGGAACCTTTGACCACGCAGTCTGTTTTTAATTTTCGGGAAAGTAAAGAAATCGTTATGACTTAGATCGGGACTATTAGGTCGATGGTCCAATAATTCCACGTTTTCTTCCGTTAAATACTGCCTTGTTTCTTGGGCTGTGTGCGAGCTTGCATTGTCTTGGTGGAGGATGATTCTTCTTTCGGGGTTGATTTTTCGAAGCTCGGTGATGACTTTTGGCAAACAAGTGGTGGTATACCAATCCGCAGTAACAGTTCTTTGCTCATTAAGAGGAATTGTTGCAATATGACCCGCTTTTGACACAAATTTCGCGACCGTCTTTTTCGAAACACTTCGAGAACGGATGACTTTTGTTGGCTTTTCTTCACCTTGGAACACCCAAACAGTCGACTGTCGTTTATTTTCGGGTTCATAACAGTAAATCCACGATTCATCACCACTAACAATGCTGTACAAATTTTTTGAGTTTCCGAAATTGAAACGGTCAAGCGTTTTTTGACACCAATTAACCCTGGCTGATTTCTGCTCTTCAGTCAACAGGTGGGGTATCCAACGAGAAACTAATTTTCTTACTCCTAATTCTTCATGTAATTTTTTTTTAATTGAGGTCTTTGAGATCCTCAAGGACGCCTCAATCTCGCGATATGTCACATGTCTATCTTCAATGATGAATTTGCGTTTTGTTGTGAAACTTTGAATTTACGTTTACTAAAGAGTGAGGTTAAGATTCAGTACTGTCGTTCGATCCACGCGGCCTACTATGTTTCTATATGCAAAACTTAAAAGACATCCCTCGTATAAATAACTTTGTTGCCATATTTTTAAAATCCACCAAATTCGACACGCCCCAAGAAGATTTATGAAAGCTGTAATCTTTCCACTTTACAAGGTGAACGTAAATGTATATCCCTCGGAAAGGTTTTTCGGAGGTAAAATGAGATTTATTTCACCTCAATATCCTGAAAGAAACATATCAAAGACTAAAAGACTGAAATGTTGTCGAAATGGCTATTAAAGGCATAATTATTCTAATTATGTTGACCATCTAAGAGCTCGAAAAAAAACATAACCACGAAATTCAGAGATCAGCTTCACAGCACATTGCCTCATTCTATTTCGAATTTAGGTTATAAATGATATTAACATATTTGCGTAGGCTAGAAGAGGTTAGATTCTAGCCATTGTACTAAGTTGATAACTCAGTACAAATCTACCGTATTTTTTTAAATAGCCACGAAATAAATCTTGAAAAGATATAAACATCAAAATGAAGTAGCTACTGCGTTACAATATTTTATTAGTTCAAATTATGATCACATGGTGTGGTGATAGAAACGTGCTGGTGACTGCTGACGATGATTCTTGTTATTACTTTTTCTACAAGCACCTTAGGATCATCTCAAGAAAATCTTCATACTTTATAGTAATATTTCCACTAAAACTTGTATCTCTTCTTTTAAACTCATCACTGAATCTCTGGATTTGGATGCAAGTGATTATATATTGGTCCAACGAAATCTTCCTAGCTTTAGGATTGCCCCTTGTTATTAGGAATCGAATAAACTCAGGAGAAAAGTTAATATCCATCTGTTTCAGAGCATAGTCCAACTCATGTTCATCCAAAACACCAGATTGGTCTCTGTCGTATAGGTTAAAAGCATGTAGCCATTGTTTTATGTAGTGATACAACGTCTCGAATTCCTTGAGATCCAATCCTCCATTTTTATCCAGGTCGAAAAGTCTCACGATGAATTTGCAAGTGTTGTCCGAAAAATGTTTGCCCTGAAACGTCTCGAAAGCCTGTTGTAGTTCCCTGGAAGTGATCCTGCCTTCAGTTTTGGTGTCCATGACTCTGAACCACTTTTCTACTGCAGGATGCACTTGTTGAGAGGCTTGCTCGTCCCATTGGTTGATTATGAATGAAGGGGAAGCTTCTGACATGTAACCGTATCTTCTTTCCCGAATACCTAACAGACAAGCAACTGTAGCTGTGAATGAAAAATCTAAGTACCGTGTATTTTGACATTGGCTGACCAAAGAGTAATAACAATATGCATTCAGAATCATTGCTCTATCCTGCCGGAACAGGAGTGCATTGATATTGAAGGTTTTGAACACGAAGAAGTTAGAGGAGATGGATGTAAATAAAATTCAGACCACAAAATGAACTGAATAGTACTATATTATTATTCTTTTGTCTATTTTCAGGTAATATCCATTAACAAAATGAGGTTCTCATTGCACTTGCCTCATATCCTCCCAATGCCTTCATCAATAGCATTAAATAGCGATGGATGAATGAAAGGTAAAAATGTTACTGATAAATGGCACAAGTACAGATTGCACTTATCTACAAATTTTAAAATGGCTTTGCCCGCTTCATATGCGTTATATATCTAGGTAAAGGGATAGGTACCTTACCTAATCTGTGCAAGACATATGTAAATTTTAGATTTTTAATGTTTCGGAAAATCCAATTCGTTGTAAAGAAATGACAAGCATTTTAGAGGTACAATATGCATAAAACTCCTCAATTAGATGTTTGGGGCTTACTAGAGTTAATATGTTCATCGTAGATTTCATTAAAGACTTCGTTTTCTCAAATCAGAATTATAATTCTTACCAGGTGATGTGTTGTACAAGATGCACTGTGTCAGATAGTCATCTGCAATATTTCCTTGGTTGCGGTAGATGCAATTCATTCCTGAAACGAAAAACGACTTATTATTTGTTACACCTTTCACAGTTTCAGGTTTCAGCTGCCCTCATTTGAAATCATGCTGTCACATCGCGTATCAGAAACTGTTTCTATTAAGTTTTCACATATGCATTCTATTTGCAAGCGCAGCAAGGTGGATACGGATTTAGACCATCAGGTTATAGTTCCTTAATCTTGATTTTTGTCAGTACAACATGTGAAGCCTGCTGTCTTTATTCGTTTTTCGTCAAAACGACAACAAACTTACGATTATCTTCTTCCGCTTGATTCTGTAGCCTTTCAACCATAGGTGCTCAATAATTTTAGTATAGTTTTGCAGTTTTTTTTTTTTGATTTTATATAGTTTTATTTTACACTTGTGTAATGGTGAAGATGACACGATAATTTTCAATGACATGCGATGACAGTTGACCATTGGGATATAGCCTTGACTGATTAATTCACCATGTCCTTGCTGGTTAGCTAGTTGATAAGACTGTACTTGGGCGCAGATATCGCAAATATTTGATTACTTATTTTAAAATGAAAGATTAGTATGTAAGTTTTACGAAAATATCATTTTTTCTTTAAATGAACCATCTGCTTGCTATTTTATAGAGCTTCTAGAAGTTGCTTTTTTGGTGGTAATACTCTAGAATAGAATACTGTATGCTGTTTTTCGGATTGTTTCACAAAAGGATGCTCTAAATTATAAGAATATAACATATACTGTATTCTATAGTACTAAGGGAAATAGATATGAAACAAAAAAAATCGTTGGTTTTTCAAAGAAAAAGGTTAAAACTAGCTGTATAATAAACTGAAGTGACAGTTCCAAATACATAGGTAGCTTAAATGTTGGCTTCGGTAAGACTATACTTTGGCGCATAAACACCAAAATTGTTGTTTTTTCGGAAAAAATTGACGAAATCAGTAGAAATGATCATTTTCAAGGAACATAGATGTGAAACTATAAAAATCGTTGGTTTTTTCGAAAAACAAAGGTGTTGTGTTGTGATTTTTCAATGTCTACCTGAAATCCCTTAAGTATTCTTTTCGCGTATTTTGAATGAGATAAAAGCTTTTCCGTTTATAAGAAATATTTGAAAGTAAAAACAATTCTCAATGGCCATTTTATTATAACATTCATTTCTTGACAGATAGGAGAAATGATGTCCATTGTTGGCTAGTTGTACTTTTTTAGGAGAGATACGTAATAAAAGATTAGATGAAAAATTAGACGAAGTTTTGAACAGTACGTGTCGAAACAGTGAAAAATGCACCAGCGGCTCGCGTGACAAAAAATACAAAAAGCACCAGCCGTCACTGCATATAAAAATACCCAACTTCGATTTGTCGATTTGGACCACGTCGCCCAACAGATCAGCGTCCAACAGTATAGTTAAATAGAGATCAACGACCATTTCATCAAATCATCAAAAACCTTGCAATGTTCGTCTTTGTTATGCTTTGATTATTTAGTGACTGGCAACAGCTAGCTTTTCGGTAATTCCTCATATATATCACATTTAATTAGGTATATTTTGAAACATCAGCTTCACTTTAAATAGTTCTTCAAGTACAAACATACAAAAAGTAAATAGATTATAACCATAACATAGGAAAAAAAATAATCGAAGTATTTTTGTGAAGATCATAGGGCATTCTTCAGAAAATCGTCTTAAGCTAACGCTATCGTACGACACGAGGCTAATTTAGTACAGTAAAACATGCAGGCCACACCTCCAAATCGTATTTTCATGGCTATGCTGTGCCGATTGCACATTTTTGCGCTTGTATATAAATAAGAATTTGACAAACCAAATCAAGGTATATTACTATCTACGATTTGGCAACATCGCAACTAGATGGAAAAATTATGATAGTGATGGTGGTATAGTGATGGGAATATTTATCTGAAATAAAAGAAATGACTACTTAACAATGGTCTATTTTCATCATTAAAATAATGCAAAATTGCATTATTGCGATGAACAGTGTCACAGTACCTACAGTGTAGGTACTTAATATTCATATAACGTTGAGCATTATTTTGTCTAAACAAAAAAACAGATTATAAAGCAGTATTCTATACCACTGTATTTCCACCCAAAATGCAACTTCGAAGTTCTATAAAATAGCAAGCAGGGCATTCCTTAAAGAAAAAATAATATTTTCTTACAAGTTACATCCCAATCTTTCATTTTAAAATAAGAAATGATATATTAGCTATATGAAATAAAGTATAGTTCAGCCTACTAGTGTTCTTGAAACAGACCACAGTAGCGGAGGTAAATGGCTTGTGTCAGTAAGAGAGTAATGTTGAGGGTATAATCCCTGAAATGGTTTAACTGCAAAGCTTATATATTTCTCATAAATAATATCTCACAAACACAGTGAAATATCAAAATCGCCGTCTAATGGGTCGATAGTTCTATTATTATGAAATATATCTATATCATATGGGTTAAGTTATTTTAATTTTTGAATGACTCGCCCTTCTTGAGATATTTGAGTATTCTTATCAAAGTTTCACATGTATGCTAAAGCTCGAAAGTCATTAATACGACAGCGTTGCGCAAACAATGCCAAAAGAAACGGTATTGCTCGAGCCTAAGAATGCACCAGGAAGAATCAAGGTATATGGGTGTCATTAATGCTGGCAGAATTATGCCATTGAAACATCTAGTTACGCAAATACAGATCGAATTACTATAAGTCTCACAAGCTCCTGGCTTCAGAAGCCATTCTCTTCCATAATAACAACAACCAAAGATATTCATTAACTTAATGAATGTACTCTTTGCCCCTAATTAGACTGTCATAAACACATTTCAAAAGCTGAGACGATAAGTGTTATACTACTATTATGAGAGTACGGTCGAAAAACTTGGCTTGGCTCCCCTTTTAGGTTATTACCGTCAGATGGCTTATTCAATTCCGCTGACTCGACTGTTTTTTTAATAATCAGACAGGTCTTCAGCATTTTCACTTAATTTAATACAGGTACCGGTTGCCTTATTTATAAGGTGCTATTATGTTCTGGTATATAATTCATAAATGATAATTGACCGCTGTTATGTACTTTGGAAGTTGATGGAATTCGGTATGATAGACTATTTTTGCGATTAACTGCCTCATTACAAATATATTCCTAGTGAACCACATTACCTTATTGAATTGCTTCTAAAATAGAACGTTCCAAAAAGTTATATGTTGAATAAAGTCGCTTATATGCATTGGTTTTCACTTACCACGCCAACCGGCGAGGAAGTAATGGCGAAAATGAGATGTATTTTTTGGATGTTATATATACGAGAAACCAAGTCACTTATTTCCGTCGGTCTGCCTGTCCACTAATCCCTGGTCCGTGTGTAACGTGGAAAGTACTGCTCGAACTTTGATGAAATTTCCATGCAAGTTTATTTCCATACCAAGTTTTTATAAAAGGTATGGGATCTAGTACCGTATAGACGTGTTAATCCGAGCTCCTGCTTTTTAGTATAAAAAGGTGATAAAAACTAAACTTAGAATCCTGCAAATTTTATAGTGCATGTGTTACCTGAAGCAGTACCCGTGAGTAAATATTTTAAGTTATTACAACGGTGATTAAAAAAGATCCGCATTAATTCCCTCCTAAAAAGTGAAGAATTCCTCGTTCAGCTGATACAAAAAGTCCCGGAGAACATTACACAAACAATTGGGGCTAGATTTGTCGAGATGAAACAGAAATTAACTGATAATTGTGCAGTCATTATTAAAGGAGGAAACTGCTTTGCTCAAATACGAAAATGAATGTCTGTCTCAGAGGTATGATCACTATGAACAAACGGCTAGAATCGACAACCTACGCATTTTTCAAGTCTAAGAAAAGAAGCAGGAAAAACTGGTTGAGGACGTCATACAACTTATAAAATCACATTTGGGAGTTACGATTGAGCATTGCGAGATTTTATCGTGTATTCGTTTTGGAGCGCAATAATAGGCCGAGGGGAATTTTGTTGAAGGTGACAGTCATCAACAAAAAGCAACAAACTTGTTTTTTCCATTTACCTCTTTTGCCTGAAATTTTCTTCTATGCTTTGGAAAGAGCTCTAGGTAGTGGATCTTTTGGATTTATTTTCTACACTTTTTGCAAAAGGCGGATTAATTTGTTAGTTGTTTAATTGCTTTGCTGATTATACAGTTTTTTGAGATTTAATTTTGTAATAAAATATTTTTCATTGTTGCTGATATTTTCCTGCTTTTGGATAAACTAAAAATTGCACATCTCAATATGCGTTCTATGCTTACAGGTTTTTTAGAATTTAGAGAAACAGTTCTGGCTGAGAAGTTTGATATTGTTTTGCTGAGACATGGTTGAGTCCAAAAAATGCATCGGACTTTTTCAATATATCAGGTTTTGCATTATTTCGTAATGACAGGGACAGACGAGGAGCGGGTGTTGGTGCATATGTGAAGGTATCTATTGCATCTGATGTATTGCAAATAGACGCTGAAATGAAGAGTGATTTGGAGTATCTTTTACTAAAGATCAAATATGAGCACTTTTCTTTTGTTATTGGTGTGTTCTATAAACCTCCAAATGTTTCCATTAACGCTGCCACTGATGATCTAGATACTGCTTTATCACTTATATGTCATTCTGTAGACTGGTTACTTCTACAAGGGTTACTAGCAGTTCACAGACTTTGGTTAATCCAATATTCATGTCTGACACTGCTTTAGTTGATATGATAGGCACTTTACCAGCTCATGGTATTTCTGGCCACGATATTACTTTTACTAAAATCAATTTGCCACCGCCTTCAGTTAGTAGTATTTGCAGAGTATAGATGTTTTCCTAACTTTGTATTATATGATTTTTTAAGAGACCTGACATCACCTCTATGCTTTAATTTCCTTTATATTTCTGAAATTGATACCAAGGTGCAGTTATTCAATGATTACATCCTTTCAGTGTTTGGCATCCTTTCACCATTTATTAGAAAAAAGATAACAAAAGG